AATTTGGCACCATCTCCCGGGAGTAGACGAAACAGAACAGGACTATTCAGTGCCACTGGGCTATGATGAAATAATGGTCTCACAAACCACAGAGCAGCTTATCTCTTCATGGATCACTCAGTCGGAGAGCACTACTTCGTAAGAAAACACAGGGTATCGAACAAGTTCATGTGCGGTGATTTTTCTTTCGGTTAATACAGCACAATTGATATCCAAATGTTCAGTAGTGGGGAAGAAGTGATGACAGTCGGGAAAGAAGTAATCAACATTCCAGTTGCATAACCGGATGTTGCTCACATTTGGTCCTCACACATGCTCACCGGTTCGAGTCATTTAGGGTGGGTTGTCTCAGAAAACACTAACTGACATGCGTTTATTGAGTAAGATCAAAATTGTGTGAATCTAGTGAAGTATCACCTGTTTTTAAATCGATAATTTGTAAAATAAATGTTCTTATAATGTATCTTTTTTACTTTGTACATTATTGAGGTAAGTGATTTTGTGGATTATTCATAGACTACAAACATGTTGGTAGAACAATAATGTTAACTCCGATGGGGCTGAAAAATTTAAACTACACTGTATCGTAATTAAAATTTACACTGGTATCTGATAGTCTATCGATAAAATATTCGCTGCCACCATGGATAGGGTCGCTTTGCTTCGTTCCCATAGCAAACACACGAGCGGTTAACTGCCTAAGCAATGCCCTTTGATATTCAGGTTAATCACTTCTACTATTAGACCATTTCTTGGCAATTCCATCGCAAAGCTATGTGCAGCTTTCGGAGGAATCGCATTTCTCTATTCAAATGACAGCCTATTACCAACACAGTCTCACAAAATTTCAGATTGCAGAATGTCTGGACGGGAATCGATTCAAAATGTGACGAACTGGATGCATTTCCACAGTCTGTGATGGAAACTGCTCCCATGCATACATCACAACCTGCACAGCAGTCAAACATTAACGGCAAGTTTAAGCATATGCGTGGATATTTTCTGGTATCCGTAAATGCAAATCTGGCAGTAGGATCTATTTGAATATTCGCTGTCGTCTACATGTCTGTGAGTAGACAGGTTGGTCGTTCCAAATCAGTGGTTTCTTAATCTGCTTACCTTTGTGAAAAGTGTCCTTGTTTGTGTGTGTGTAGAATTGTGAACGAACTGAGCGATACTGGAATTTCGACGCAACGTCGAGCATGACGCGCGTTTTAGATTTATGAAAGCATAAGGCATCCCGCCGTACATTTTATCACTTGAGCATTCAAACCGTATAAAAATAGCTTTCAGAAAGCATACCATTACTGTTTTGTATATCCGTTTGTTATCATGTATTGCAAACAAATTTGTCTATTATCCATTTTCAGGGGTTGAGTGATCACATTTCTTTTAGCAAGACTTGTACAAGGGGAAGAGATGAGCTCAGACTATTGGTTTCTCAGAAAATTGTTATACCGCTGTGATGTTTTGTTTCCGCAAAATTTTTCCAAAATAGTTGAAAACATCTATCGATGAAGGACACTGCGGTCAGTGAATCAGGGAAAATTAGTCTTTGGGAATAAAGGACAGAAGTTGCTGAGTTTGGGCACTCTAATTCAAATTTCAAAGGGGAAATTCATCGTGTATATGACAAATGAAGCGTGAACTGAAAATCTAATAAGCACTGGACAGCCGTTTCGACTTGGTTGGATCTCATCAACAGTGCGAATCCATCGGCCCATCTGGGGGATTACCTAAAAGAAAATGAGGTGATGACCCAGGCCTAATCGAAACTGAAGCAATGGGTCCCTGTGAACCTCTTATTGGTTAGTATAGGCATTTATAATGAATTAGTTTGTTTTTAAATAATAATAAGACGCCTTGTTGGGTGTTTCTAGATGATAAATATAATGCAACCTCAGTTGATCATAAAGAAACGATTTTAGTGTATTACAATTAGCCAGTACTATAAATGTATTTAAGTACAGTGCTAACTTTAATCGATAACAGTTACCAAGTGACTTATTCGACGACAGATAGAGGAAGCTCCGGAGCTTGAACTGATTTGTTTTGGTAAACAAAAGTCAGTGTTTGTCAGATCACATAAACATCTGCACTGACGTAATGTTAGTTGGAAAAAGAGGAACCTCAGTTATGCACTTATTATAGGAGAAAATATCTTCAAAATATCGATCGCTTTCTATCATCAAAATATTTGTAAGATATGAACTTAATAGGTATTCTCCAGTGGCCGACGGATGGATGGTTCCCACCTGGTTCGTATCGTTAATTACACTGGAAACAATACACAGTCCGAACAATCATAAGTTGTTTAGCCAATGCAATCAATACGGATGTGCTGTTCATTCACACTGTCTCAGGTTGAAGAAATCATGGCAACCGAGGGAAAATTCAACTGGGTAACCTAAGGAATAAAGTTCTCAGTGGATATTGGGACCAATAACTAGTTCTCATTTTTAGACAGGTAACATGTGTGAATTTAGACTAGCTCCATAACAATGGTTAACAGAGCACCTTATGTTATGAATTTTGGTCGTTCCGGTTAAGGTTACACTCACCGCTGCCCGTTAGTGACATTCTCCTGCTCGTGTGTCGCATGTCGACAAACAGCTCTAGTTTCCCGCTTCAATGATATTCTATCAGACCAAACGATTCTCCAGGACGGAAACATACTGTGGAGTGGAATTTTCAGTTGTCGTTCAGTTGCACGTTTATCGGACGGGAACTGTGTCGAATGGCAGTGGGTGGTCACAACTCACAAGCTCGTCCACACACAACCCGGAATTGCTTGTAAGCGTTTTTTAGTGGGGAAAACCAGTCACTTTGTGTTAACCTTTCGCTACTTGTGAAAAATAAGTTACCGTTGACAATCATTACAAGATGGATTTAACAGACGATAAAAAATCATTTGGTCTGGCTGAAAGTGTGATGTCTGAGTTTTCGGGAAATATGTGACGATAATTCAGACGTCTTGTTCCCGACGAAGCGAAGATCACATCGATTGAACTGCGAAAAAAATGCAAAGAGCGTTTACCATAAACCAAATCGATTGACAGAAAAACAAATGGGACAGAGAAGAAAGCAGTTACTACGGAGGAGTTGAGTAATAATATGAAAATACTTATATCTTCAAACCCCAGCTCTCCGTTCACAACTTAGCCCGGCAACTCTCGCATATTCATTTAACCACTGAAAGCCTTTTTTAGTTCAAAGCGGCGTATGGCGCTCGAACTAGGGGACTATCATTCAACCTTACCAGCAATGATCTTGTCTTGGAATTGTTGGGAAGCAATTTAGCTTTACAAGTGCCTGTCGGTCACACATGGCAATTCTTGGTCTAAATGTAAAACGTTTTTAAAAGTCGATATACAGAATTCTGCTGAGCAATCTGAAGGATCCGGCCATTGCTCAGAGAAGGCAAGCTTTTGAACTTTCTTGAACAACAGTCGATGAACGGTGTACCTGCGGCCATCGTACCCTAGATGGTACAGACCGACGAATGTATGTGCAGCAGGCAAACGCACAAATGTTTGTTTGTGTGTGGGGGGGGGCAGAGTAACTCAAAATACCGATTCCATGGATTCCTGACCGGTTGTCTGATAAACCACTAGTCTGATTTTCTTTTTTCATTTGCTTCTTTTTTATTGAGTATACAAAGATACAATTTTTCAGGAAGGGGGAAGCGGCCAATCAGAGGGCTGCCATACAACACACAAATTGGTTGTCTGCTTCAAACATGTTGGAGTGAATATGCATTCATGAGTTTATTAATAAGACCATGGAGCAAAACCATTTCGTTGTCGATGATACAGTCTGCAAATATGCGTACGTGAACTCGAAAGGCGCTTACCCCTACCACATTGTGTAAAGTGAACCACGTTATGTTCCATTCTTGGTCATGATGATGCAATCCCTCTCTAATCGTGCAAGCCTTCCGTGTATATGTGGTCGTGTATTTCAAAAAGCGCTCAATTGTCTTATCGCGAGATTGTGACCGTGGAGGTTAGCACAAAGAGTTCTCTCATTTTATTGCCTTCTCATTAAACAAAGTAAAAAACAAACAATTCTAGACTGTTGAGAGGCAATACCTCTGGCCACCATGAAGATCATAAAATCAATCTCTGGAGGACTTTTTACCAACGTTCTCTCAATTGGATAGAGGAGACACGATATAAAGCCCACATATCCCTAGTGATAAAAGAGCTTCAACGAAATTAGGCTCTTTTTCTATCCATCTGCTTTCATGAGAATACAACTGATAAAATCATATTGTATTGCACTGAGACCAAACGCCATGGCATCCACAGGAAAATGACCGGCGTGCCGGTTCACTGGTCGACGCTTTCCAGTGCCGCTATCGGTTACATAAAACTAGATCTTCCACCACGGACATACCCACCAGCCGAAACGTTTGCAAACAATTTGCCAAACTCGATGAACAGGCGGAATGTATCATTTTACCTATAGCCAAATATATACAGATATAATTTTGGAAAGTGAAATGCATTTTCAAAGTGAGAACGATGTTGCATGAGTTTGCTCAACACCTATATATATATCATGACAATTGATCCAATCCTTAATAAGCCCCTTTTGGTGATCATTCCCAACGTTCAGATATCCCTAAGATCCACCGCACAACTTTGACTCCTCCTAGTGAAACTGAAACTATCACCGGGACAAATGTGGTTCTAAGCCAAACGGCAGATCATTCCGCCACGTTTTCATTCAAATTCGATCAATGGATTTTCCTCTGGCTCACCGGAATCGGTATAACAATTTGCATTACAGTCACGTGGCTTGCTACAAGGTACTACTACAGTAAACATTTTGAGAAATGGCGATTAAATGGTCCGGACAGTTGTCAAACATCCCGTTCGAGACATTCAGGTCATCAGCTACCGAACCATTTATGCGACCTGATAAAATTGGACAATGATACAGATCCAACTACGGAATCGCTACACACACCGACCGATGGTTTGTGCTCATGTCATATGATTCCAGCATCTGCGATTCACACTGCTGCTCGAGGTAGCCAAAAACTGACTGCCAAAAGTTTAACATCCTCTTCTTCCGCAACCATTCGTTCAATCGTTCCGCATCGTCTGTTGCATCATGAACTGGAAATGCATTCGAAATCTAGCCCGAGACACTTTCAACGCAAAACGGACAGACCGTGTTCACGTTTGGGCACGCTGTGCTTAAACAATGATTTGCGTTCTGAAGAACAAGCATCTTTTGTCGAATCATGCGAACAGTGCACCGACTCTTTGGAACTGCATGCTCCGGGTTGAATACACACATCGCACGCTGCACACTGCTCGGCAACGCGAGACACATCACTCAACCAGACACACGAACACACACGGTACCTCAAGTGCGCAAACAATGTCATTCGTATTCCGGACACCGATTTTATCAGAAGGTGCACAAAATGTGTTCGAACCCGACACACTGTTTTGTGGCTGGAATGACATTAAAACGACCTTACGTTTGGCGTTCTCAGATTATCTGATCTTGAAACCAATGAAGATACGATCTTTTTCCTGTACATAAATTTCTCCCCGTTATACTCATGTTTATCTAATATTGAATGAGTTATGTAATTAAATGAAATTGTTTTCATCTGCGCCGGGAAAGGGAGCGCTTTCAAATATTGCAAGACCAGAATCATTAAATATATTTACTTTCAAAGCCATCCAGAAACTGTGATGAAATAGTGCTTATGTACCTTTTTCATTATAGGATTGATATTGCCCCCGATCTGTGGCAAATTTAGATCAGTTTCTGGAATGAAAATATTTTTGGACGTATTTCGTCTATATGAGCGTATTGGAGATAAATGTTCCTCACGGGTATGATTGGTTTTCTCTCCGTAAACAGTAACTAGATGAAACACCAGGAGTTAGTTGACCATGTCCCGTTATCAATATATAACCATCGGTCGCGGTTATTAAGCCCCACCTAAGGAAATCTAGCTGAGGATCTCAAGTGGTATCTGGAAACATTTAATAATATATTACCGTGTTCTAAAAGTGGCTCTCCGAAATCTACTCACCTTTAAACTCCTTTTGATCTACATGCTCTCTGTCTAATTATTCCGGGACCTATTTCCTCCTTTACTACGTCAGTGTTTACCCATAATATGTAATCCTGGATGTGGAGTTTACACTTTTTTGTGTAGAAGAAAATCCGGTATAAAACGCATGGGGTTGGTGGTTGTTCAAGTTATTCCGCAATAATTCTGGTCAAATGCGTTATGTGTTATCTGGTGAACGGAAAGATTACCGGCGGAATGTGGCTACGTGGACGTCATCGGTGTAACACTGCGATCTTTTAAAAATATAGCCCTGTGAGTTTGCAGGTATGAGTTTTGAAAAAGGTAATTTATCCATGGTTATATTGTTTGTTAGGATAAAATAAACGCTTTTTATGCAATCACAAAATCATTTCAATTTACTACTGCAATAATTATTATCAACAAACTCTATAACTTCATTTCATAATTTTGTTAGCTACTGATAAACTGCAACAGATTATTGATCAACAATTAAGCCACGAATGAACTCTAGTGCATCTGTCTTCAGGATGTAAACTTCTCTTTTCACCAACATCTTTACCCTTATCCTCATCAAGCTCTACACAGTTTTCAAACTTGTGTTGAACATGAATGTTACTCGTGAAGCTGGGACCTTCGGCTAGCGTACCTTAATAAATTAATCATTTGTTCAGTCCCACCGAACTCCTGCAAACCTATGAAATTTCGCAATTGTTTGCAAATGTTCAAACGTTCCGTGCCGAAGTAAGACGGCACCCAGTAAATAAGACGATGACGTCATACCGTTGGTTTTGTTCACATAATGCGAGAAGTGGATTCATTTATTAGGCTATTTTAACCTTCTCAGACGCGCAATTGCCTTTCTTTCTAATATATCCTACTCAATTCTTTTTGATTTAATTGAAATGTAGGTGTTTTGGAGATGACTCTGACAAAAACATATGTTTAGCTGAACATTAGTTTTACCTAGTCGTAACCTTGCACATGTCTGTTTATACCCAAACCTCATATTTCAATTACCTGTAAGTTAATTGTTTGCTCCTCAAGAGCAGTCAGAAATCACAATAAAACAAAAGCCTTCTCAATTAAATTTATCGGTATGGTTGGGGTTCGTTTGAACAACGTCATAGACGTTTGGTTGCCACTGAACCTTTCCCCAAAACAAAATCCATGAGAAAGGTTTGGTGCGTACATAATAAATGTTTAGTCATGTTACAGGATTATTTAGTGAGAATGCAAGACTCCATTTTGAACGTTTGTGGACACCAATGAAGAACGATGTGCGATACATCACCACGCCCCAAATTGTGTATTTTCCAGTCAGCCTTTGTATGGTCACGGTCTCCCTTCTCCAATGATAACTCTACAATTGTACATTCAATAAATAAAAAGGAAGCAAAACGACAACACAAGACTGTGAGATTACGAATTCAATAATAAATTGGTTTGATGTGTTTGCATTGCGGGTGAGGCCCAAGCGAGTAAAGTAAAGTGTATAACTTACCAGATTTGTAATACAGTTCACAGTTTTAGATGCATTAAGCAGGAAAGAAATGTATTAGTAACATTTGGGATCTGTTCAGCAAACATTTTCCAACACACACCATGAATGGTTCTGTTGATCAAATGAATAAACGCTTAGCATTCATGAACAAGGAGTTGTTCTTTTCGAATAACTGTTGCCAAGAATGAATCGTTCTGATTGGCACTTTGAACAAATTGATTAGGCTTCTGGAGTTATCTGCTATGATTGTATTAAAATCTATGTTCCAAGTATGAGGTGAGCAAAACAGCCAGTGAAAATAATACATTTCCCATCCTATTCATCTCACCGACACATTGGTCCGAACCGTGGTCTTTCACCAAATCTTTGATCTTTGCTTATTTCCAAGAATATCAGGCTCTCGAGTGTGGTTTTATTTCAAATACTCCCGGATATTGTCATTGGTTTATTTTAAGTTGGAACGAAGAAATCTGCTAATCAATGTGTACGTCGAAAAACGAAGGTTGCTTCAGTTGCGTGTGAATTCTTTGTGTAAAGACCCAGCAAAAGCGTCTGCTTCATCCCTTTTGCCCTCTATAATCAGTGCATATATGATGCGTGCAGACCTTGGTGTCTGCGGAGCCGTATGGATTATGCTAGAAAAATTCACGTTCGTAGAGTTTTATTCGTTGTTATCAGAATGAAAGCAAGCAAATGATGTTCTCATACAATCAAAAAACAGGTTTTAGGGTCGATTGATAACGTATCTAATACCGGAACAAGAAGTTTGTTTTGGGACAGGCGGGTTTGTGATAAGTTTCAAAGGAAACTTGTACTTTCGGATAATTATATTAAAATAAAATTGTTAAAACTTCCGATGTTTCATTGTTAGCCTGAGTTTAAGTGCAATATTTAATCCAGATTCAGTTAGTTTCGTTTTAGAAGCTGTCAGTTGAATTTGTTATGAACTTCATTATCCGCATTCCATGAACACATTTAATCGGTCAATCTGATCACCCTGGAAACGTTATCGTATAGTAACTTAATTAAATATCCACCCGCCGAAGCTCTTGAAGTGCTGTCTGCTCCACTTTATGAACAATGGCCGGGTAGGGTTTAAACTAGAACTAAATTTGAGACGATGAAACAGATTACCGAACAAGTTAGTTTAACGCCATTTGTAATCAAACCACAGCATATATATGTATATTTGTGACTACGCGAATGAAAAAACGATTAGTAAGTTTTCTTTGTCTAAATACTACATTTGGCCATTAATATCAATTGTAGCGTATTGCATGTATTACATTTCACTGCTCAGTCAATCAGTCGTGACTTTGTGTGTTTTACGTGCAATGCGCTCTGAGTGTCTGCCAGAAAACCGTACATAATATGTTCAGCTAATTGTGCACCATTTACATTCCCTGAGATAACCAAAAGCTTCATCCGGTTAGAGCTTTGTTTACGATGATGCTTAATGAATTACTGGGGTTGAAATGTTGCGACTACATTGACCAGATGGGATGCAATTTAGTACGTTTGAAGTATGCTTCATTTTGAATACAAAATATCCATTGCCAATGACTGTTTTGATTGATCACTGATTAATTGGAATTGACCATCCTACAGACTTCACCCGCACGCTGATTCCTCAGCTCTCCCAGTCATTCATACACTCGAAAGCACTATAGATTCGAGTTTCGCTCTAACGGTGTACAGTAGGTAAACCAGTTATCGATTGGCTCGTTTTTGGCACTCAAGCTACATGGAACCCGTAGTACAAACATGATATATACATATATATATGTTTATATATATATATATTTTACTCAGAATTTGAAAACTATTCTTATACACAATGAAGGAAAGCAAAACAGTTATGCGCAATATCGATGAATCTTTCGAATCAGAAAAGTCATCGAGAAACTAGATGAGAGCATTAACAGGAATCATTGTGTTATCTGTTTGGCCTGATTTTTCGTATGTTTCAGAACGGGAAGGTGTAAAAATCAGAGGTGGTGATGCATCGAAACGTGCAGCGATTCTTTATTGAAAAGTAATGGAATTATCAATGTAAAATATTGAATCGAACGCTGGAAAAGAGCACTATGTAAATAACCGTTTAGTTTAACGAAAACTTAATAAAAATATATTTATGAACATTTGACAAATTTGACAATAATAAGTTTCTTTTTGAGCAGTGGTTGAAAAAATTAAAAATCTTTATTACGCAAGGTTTACACGGTGGTTGTTTCGATTTCCCCAGCAACCTCTATTCGAAAGGCCGAATGCTTTTACCCGTTCCTATCATTGTAGTTAATGATGTGACTTCTAAAGTGCGAAGTTGACTACTAAAATCTAAATCCAGCAGGTTAACTGGCATCCGGATATGTGTTATCCTATCATAAAAATATATATAGAGGCGTTCGCCAACTGGGTGGTTTTGCTTTCTTGCCCACTCCAGATTCAGATAATGATCAGTATTACAGTTCACTGGTTTCTATCACCTTATGTGCAGTACGCGTAGAAGGGATCAAAGAATTGTTCTCAACTGGATGCTCCATCGCTCCAATGCTCCATCGGATCACGGAACTGTTTACACAGAATATGCCAGACAGCTGATCGAAATTCCTTCATATCGCTTCCGCTTGAATATTTCCTCAACTTTTAAACTCTCTCTTTCTAGATAAATATATTTCATAATAAGTAGTATGTAAATGACTGGACAAAATTTCCCTGGAAGCACGTGACCG